ACTTTGAAAAACATTTTGGCAGTTTCTCAAAATATTATCTAGAATCACCATACTACTCAGAAATTTCTTTCTCAAGTGTATGCAAAAATATATATATAGATAGATAGATATAGATAGATAAGTTTATGGCCAAAGACTCATATGTGAATACTCATAGTAGCACTATTTATAATTGCCAAAAGTAAATGAAACAAATTCATCCACTAGCAGAAGGTAACATGTATGTGGTGTATCTGTGCCATAGAATACTATTCCCCAATCAAAGCAGATATAGTAATGATATCTGCTCTAACAGGAAAGATCAACAGTGTCCAGCTATGTGAAAGAAACTACACCTAGGGAAACTACATAATTTATTTTTGCACTTCAGATATTTTTATAAAGGCTCATGTATAGACACAGGAAAGACATTAAAAATTGTCTAGAGCTGGAGGGGTGAAAGAGTAAATGCAAATGAGATGAGTCATGGACATATTCTAAAGTTTGATTGTGATTATGGTTATATAATTGTATTTTCTAGTATTCCACATGTGTGTAATTTTATGTGTTGGACTTAGTGATAATTAATAAAGAATAGTTGAAAAACATGAAAATGAACTCTGAAGATGAATATGCTGTAGGTGGAGGTCTGTGGCAAGTATTCTTGGAAGAGTCTCAATATTTTATTTCCTCATTGGCTGATGGCCACTAACAGGTTTATCCAATCAGAGCTGGAATACTGGTCTTTCAGAAGCCCTTTTTTGAATACAGAGTATGAATAGGCTTCCTAGGTCCCTACATGCCATTTTCTCTTTTCTCAGGCTTGGTATCTCTGCTCTTCACAGCTGGGTTGTGCTATTTTTCAAACAGTGTAAAAACACCATCACTGAATCTCAGAGCAAAGACATGAGCTGCAGAGAGTGACAACAGCAGAATGAATGACTCTGCTAGTGTGTCAGAGATGGTGGGAGCAGATTCTCCCAGAGGTTATTGTTCCTGGGTCCATGCACTTCTCAATCCTGCCCAACAACTCAGGCCTTCTGGGAACAGATTTCATAATCTGAGCTTTTTACATAGGGACCATGTCCATGGTCCCCAAGCATATTTCTCCTGAAGAGCAGCAGGCAGGAATAGTAACTTATGACATACAT